ATTCTTGCTTGTTCATGACATTTCAAATAATGGATTGCTAATATGCACACATACATTCGAAGAAAGGTCCTATAAATATTTTAGGCACTCTGGATAATTACAGTGATAATTGCATATATGACTATTATAATATAAAAATTTGGCTCTTACTAATTAGAGAGGATGACATCTGTCAGAAAAATGTAAATCGACTGTTTTATTTGTCCTTATTTGATCAACTGGTCTCATAAATCTTGGGTTTTGCAGCACACATATGATGCTTTCAAGAAAATGTTAGAACACCTGCATCATGTGGTTCTGAACAAATTCAAAAGTGATCTAGAACAATCATTAAGGAGCGGTGAGGGATTTGCAGCATCAGCTCGTTATTGTGTGCAGTCATCAATGGCGGAATTTGATGCTGGATTGAGAGGTAAACAAACCACGGCTAAGATTTATTGGGACTAAAATATTTAGCCATTTGTCAAATGTGACATGCATGCTGACCTCTTTCTGCTGTCATTTTTTTGTCCTGCAAATCCAATGCTGCAAAAGCCAAATCTCCATAGTTTGGTGCTCATTTGATAGTTTTATTGTCAATGAATGTCTAAACCATACGTCGACTAGTACTATGAGCCTTTGCTTCTTGATCTTGTTTTAAGCCTCTTGTGCTTGCTCCTGCCAACCATATTGTGTATGTTTTTCAAATAATAGTTTATTCATTCAGATTATACTAGAAATACGGCAATGTTCAACATAAGTAAATTCCTAGTAGTTTGAAGTAATGTGATTTGAAACTCATCATTCCTTAAATCTTTGGTTTACGATACATGACATCAAGTCCCTCCATTGTCATGCAGATGCTTTGGTTAAGCATGCAGAGTGGGACACGACAAAAGTTAGGAGCAAACTGGAGCAGCATATAGAAGCTCATGCAACATCTGTTCGGGGTACAAAACTGGCTGAACTAAAGGCTAATTATGAGGTTATTTTTCATACTCAGTGCACGGTTTATTATTGCAATTTCAGCATGTTCCTAGAATTCCCCATTTCATGAGTTCTTACGGTGGATTTTTAAAAAAACCATCCTCATGCTTGGACCTTTTGTTGCCGCAATGTTCAGAAAAAACTCTTGGATACACTTGCTGGACCTGTACAGTCAATCTTGGAAACTGGTGAAAAGGACTCTTGGGCATGTATTAGAAGACTTTACAGGCATGCGACTGAAAGTGCTATTTTGGCATTCTCAGCTTCCCTCTCCGAGTTTGAACTAGACCAGACAACTATCCGTAAGATGGTCATGGAATTAAGAGAACATGCAAGAAGTATAGTAGAAGAGAAAGCTAGAGAAGAAGCTGGGAACGTTCTGATGCGTATGAAAGAAAGGTAGAATCTGCTACTATTATTTTTGGAGGAAAACTTAGCAAACATATCTTGACTTTTCAGGGATCACACTTACCATTTTTGGAACATTTATCTTATCTCTACCTGTTTAATTGGACTCTAGGTTTTCCACTGTGTTGAGCCGTGATAAGGATTCCATGCCTAGGACATGGAAAGGAAATGAAGATATACGTGCAATCACTAGAGAAGCACGCTTAGCGGTATATTCTTTCCTGTTGATCAATATTGCACTCATTTATCCTGATCTATGCTGTAGAAACATGATCTATGTATCACCTTCCCACTGCAGGCTTTAAGACTTATGTCGGTAATGGCAGCTGTACGTTTGGACGATAAACCAGATAAAATAGATCGGGCTCTAACGACTGCTCTTTTAGATGGAGGACCGCTTTCACAGAAAAGGAGTATTGAATTCACATCTGATCCTCTTGCTTCAAGCACATGGGAGGAGGTGCTGACACTTAGATTTAGAAATTTATGATTTAGAAGGGCAAATGTGATGAATAAGTCGTTAACATTTTTAAGTCTGTACAGGTGTCAGAAAAGAATACGCTGATCACACCAGTGCAGTGTAAATCCATCTGGAGGCAATTCAATGCAGAGACAGAGTATGCTGTTGCACAAGCAATTTCTATGCAGGTATATTTCTGGGCCATTTCTGTTCAAGTGGGCCATTTCTGCTCAAGTGCTTATCCAGTATATTGCATAACACTGATTTATTTTGATCAAATGGATAGGTAAAACATAACTGAATTTGTTGTTTTCTTATTATGAAGAGTGAACCATGAACCCTGGCCTGCTAATTTCAGAGGCGGGTCTTCAATGCCCTTAAAAAAATACTAAAAGAAGTGATAAGCTTTTCATGAAATATGTTCTTTTTGTCCATTATGTGAAACTCCATTTATGATATTTCTATCTGATTGTTGGTGCTCTGTGCTTACCAAATTTTCTTCCACCAGGAAGCACACAGACGTAGCAATAATTGGCTGCCACCTGCATGGACTGTTTTGCTTCTCGCAATTTTAGGTTACAACGAATTTATATTCCTTCTAAGGTAATCATCTCAATGAAGTAGCTTTCTTATCCTTATAAACGCATAAACTGAGAAATCCGAACTTGACGGTTAACATATGTAACCACTAACCAGCATCTTCTCTCTGTTTATGAACTCTTGGACAGGAACCCTTTATATCTGCTGGGGCTCTTCGTCGCCTTCGTAGTATCCTATGCTGCATGGTTGCAATATGACATCACAGCCTATTTTCGCCATGGCACGGTAATATTCTACAGAACGCGTTTCGCATAAATTACATCCCAGTGCTTTTTTATCAAAGTCGCTGTTGCTAGAAAGGAGTAAAGGGGCTGGATCACCTTAGCTGGTTTCATCAGGCAGAATTCTGCTCTTAATTTTTATTTTAGATAATGGATAAAAATCCGGCCTCTATATCCACAAGTGGATATACAGAGCCAAACTGCTCTTAAATTTCTATCTAGTGCATTTCAGTTCAACTGAATTACACGGCATGTATTCAAACTAAATCTCAAGGATGTTCTTTCATATGCAGCTCTCAGGTCTTCTGACTATTACATCTGGGTTTCTCCCCACAATAATGGACATCATAACAGCAGTCATCAACATGAGTCACAACCAGAAGAGCTCCTCGCACCCGCCTCGACATCGTCCCCCGCTTCATCCTCAAAGCTTCAGGAACCAGGCGCAGCAACAGTCTCAGGCTCAGGTGCAGTATCAGGCTCCAAGTTCACTGTCATCATCCTCTTCGGTGGGCTCCAACAGCGATGACGAATCCTGAAGCCTCATAAAACATCCCTGTAGAAGACACGTTCCAGTCTCCAGGAAGGACTTTGTATAAAAGAAAAAGGAAAAAAAAAAGAAGAAAACTTGATGTGTAATGTACTACATACACTGTGTGCATAGCTGTGAGCAGAGTTGGTGATAGCTGATTAGCTGAGCAGCATAAGTTCCTGGATAAACCAACTGTATGTCAGTATGTGTAGAGATGATGGATGGAAATGAACTAGATGTCGAACTAAATACCGGAGTAATAGTAAATTTCTTCTTACTGGTTACTTAATTACAGCCTTGGGTTTGTCTCTGAGTTCATGCATTCTCTTTCTGAAAATAAAAATGTCTGTCCATGCCATGACCTGCATATACATCACAATGACTCCATAGAACCAAACTAACTCGATTCACAGGAGCATCTTCTTCCACCACACGCAATGCCGCATCCCTACATCATTCAGTCAGTTCAGTTTGATAGGAGAAAACTTCACTACTGTTATACTGAATTACTGATGCATGCAAGGATCTTTACTGGTGTGTTAAACGGATTGATACAGTAACAGAACTGGATAGAGTTATAAACTTGCTCGCTTGTGCCTGCAGCTATGCACCAGCAGCACAAATTCTGCTGCAGCTGCTGCAGAAGTCAACCCTTCCAAGCACCCCTCTAATTAATATAGATACATTGGCTAAATATGTTCAATGAAATGTCTCACTTTACCCAAAGTTACTGTAATTTAATTTCTTTGCATTAAGCAGTAAGAAACTACCGCATCATATGGCCTGAAACTGACACTGACAAACCTTTCAAATGTATTGTTCTGTTCTATGTTAACATTAACAGAGGCATAGAGCTTTCCCAAGATAAATTGCTGACTTGAGATGCCTTCTAGTTAGCAGACGAGTTAATTAGTACTCTAATACTACTAATTATCTACCTGTACAATTTCGTTTTCCTGGTTACATGGACATGTGTGCCGTTGCAGTTACTGTAAAATTGCCGTCAGTTTCAGCATGTTGCAGCCTTGCAGGACAGGAAATTATCAGAATCAACAGAGATCATGCAACATCTTATGTCTGCTGCTAGCCCCAATTAATAATACTGTACAGTGATGTTGTCACGCTAGCTTGATCTGGACTTCTGGAATGATCATAATTCAGGATTAACAGGAACTTGGCGGAGAACAAAGCAATGCATTTTCTCAAGCAGAGTAAAAGTAATTTCTCACAACATTGGAAATTCCAGATTCATTCCGTCATCTCTCCAGCGCTAGCTTACACATAGCCCTATCATTTTTATACAGCTTATCTACCATTTTCTTAAAACAAATTATTTGCTTTACACGGTATAAAAAAAGTACATATTAGGGTGGCATGATTCCAACAAACCCTTTTTTAAAACTACTTTATTCCACCGCATCACTTAGACCACTCTTTTTTAGCTATATGTTATTTTCAAAATATGTAATAATTTACGAAAATAATTCGCTCAATAATCTAAAGGGAAACTATTTTAATCCCTCGAGAGGATATCCCCTCGTTCAAATTTAACTTCTACATTTCGTAATGAAAAAAAAACAAATTGAACCGCAGCTAGTTAACGTATATTCAGAGTCAAATTTGTTTTTTTCGTTGCGAGATGTGAAAGTTGAATTTTTACTTGCATGTTTATGGAGTGATATGTTACATGTTAATACATTTTCTCGAATTTTTTCAATTTTTTTTCATAACCATTTAAGTGACATACAAACAACGAGAGTATATCCACTCGAGGGATCAAAATCCACTTCCTAATCTAAATCAAACAAATACCTTACTCAAAGGGCTCTCACTTTATTTATCTCTTCTTTTTCGCGAACGCCACTTTATTTATCTCATACATACACCTCTTCCAAGCACAAGTGTACTGCAACAACCGGATACATAGACATAGTAGACACTAGCTAGTATATATAGCTTCCAAGTCTCCCCCAGATATATAGAAGCTCTCCTATCGGAGAGAGCCATGGCCATCTATCTCCTGCTCAATTTATTCCTCTCCCCTCCCTCGCGTACACATTCGTGTGTGCACGCGCGCGAGCAGCACAGCACTAGCTCTAGGTCGATCGACCATGGAAACCCTAGCTAGCTATACCCTACACCCGGCGAAGCAGTATCTTAATTACGTTACCTTTAATTACACTGCCTGGAGGATGGCTTCGGCGGCCACCGTGGCCCATCCATGGCGGCGCTCGTGGCAGTCTCGCATGCACCGCTGCCTCTCGTGCCACTCGCGGTGGTGCTGGCATTGCCTCCGGCAGTGGTCGCCGCCATGGCCGCCGCCGCCGCCGTGGTGGTTGTCATCGTCGACGACGTCGTCTTCCTCCTGGCGCCTGTACCTGCAGTCCTGCATGCATTGCTGCCTCTTCCATTGGTCGTGGTGGTGCTGGCATCGCTTGCGGCAGTGTTGCTCTCTCTCGCCGCCGTAGTTGTGGTCTTCTTCCTCGTCGACGGCGGCCTCTTCCTCCTCCTGGCGCCGCCACTGCCTGCAGTCTTGCATGCATTGTTGCTTCTTCCATTGGTCATGGTGGTGTTGGCACTGCTTGCGGCATTGCTGATCGCCATGGCCGTCTTCTTCCTCGACGACGTCGTCTTCTTGGCGGTGATGGTACCTGCAATCTTGGATGCACTGCTGCTTCTTCCACTGGTCATGGTGGTGCTGGCACTGCTTGCGGCAGCGATCGCCGCCGTGGTTGTCGTCTTCCTCGTCGACGTCGACGGCGGCGTCTTGTTGGCGCTGGTGGTATCTGCACTCCTCCATGCATTGTTGCTTCTTCCACTGGTCGTGGTGGTGGCGGCACTGCTTGTAGCAGGGGTCTCTGCCATGGTGGTTGTCGTCGTCGGCGTCGACCTCCTGTCGCCGGTGGCGGCAGTCCATGAGGCAGCGCTGCTTCTCCCACCAGTCCTGCTGGTGCTCGCACTGCTCACGGCAGTCCGGCCTGGATCCGCCATGGCCGCCGCCGTGGTGGTGCTGCTCGTGGCGGCGCCACTCGCACTGCCTCATGCACTCCTGCTTCCGCCACGGCTCGTCGCGGTAGCCACGGCACTCGCGGCGGCACTCCTTGCCGCCGCCGCCGTGCGTGTTCTCGTCGTCGTCGTCGTCCTCCTGCTGCCGCTGGAGACACTGCTCCTCGCACTCCCTCAGCTGCCGCTGGTCCTGCCCGGCCTCCCACCGGCACTGCTTCTTGCACCACCGGAGCTCCTCCTTCGGGTCCCGCCGACCCTCCTCCTCCGCCGCCGCCGCCGCCACGGCCACCAGGAGCAGCCCGGCGGCGAGCAGGAGGAGCGCGCCACCACCTTTCCACTTCACACCCATGGCTAGCTGGAAGAAGCTAGCAACAAAGCACCGAGATAGTAGTCGTACGCCGTCGACAGGTGGTGGTGGGGAATGGCGTTGGAGGAGGCGGAAGCGGGGGTGCATTTAAGCTCGGCGGAGGGCGGCGGCGGGGGGGAGGTGGCGAGGCGACGTGTCCGCCATGGGCTCATGCAGCGAGCCCACGTCGCGCGCGGGGGAGGGGGGAGGGTGGTAGGTGTGAGTTGGCGGGTAGCGGCGGCGCGCGGTGCAACTGCTACGCGGCGGGCGCGACGCCGATCGGGTCGGGGGGGGGGGGGGGGGGGAGTAGGTGGAGCTCGTCGGTTTCTTGGCCATGCCATCCATGGCGAGGGGATGGCGTGTACGAGGATTTGGATGCCGGGGAAGGGACGAGCTGGCAAGCATATATGCACGTGGATATGGGTGTGGTGGCAGCCATGGGTCTACGTGGAAGCTGGGGGTGCATGCATGGGCCGGGCAAAATTGGGCTTTATTTCTTGGGTCAAAATGGGCCTTATTTGTTGGCTGGTAACTGATCTGGTGTGCTGCGCTGGGCTTCGACGTGCTCCGTTGGATCAGGGCTGGTAACTTGAAGTGGACACGCCGTCTTCTACTTCACCTCTCCTCTTTTCTTCTCTTCCGTTCCCTCATCTTCGCCATGTGGGAGATAGCCGGCGACATTGTCATAGGCTCGGTCGATTCGAGATAGGAGGAGGGGGGAAGGGGGGGGAGGGGGGCAGAGCCCACGGGGACCCAACCGGTTGCCGTGGTCAGCATGCACTCTGGCACAATACCTCCATCGTCCGATTGCTCCTTAACCGCGCAAGCGCAACCCCCTCCCTTACTCGTTTCCACCTCTCTTGCACGGAGGCCAAGCTAGCACGAGCTCAGACGAGCTTGCTGACCGCCTTCCCCTCCCTCGACTACCCTCTATGGCAGCCTAGCGTGGTAGTAGCTCGCGCCTCGACTACCTCTCACGCTCCTCCGTCCACCTCCCTCGCATGGAGGCCGGGCGAGCTTGAGCTTGGATGGGCTCGCCGACCACCTCTCCATTCCTCTCCCGCCTCCGACTCCCTCAGCCACCCCTCAGGGCGACAGCCCGCACCTTGACCGCCTCATCTGTCCCCGCCTTCGTGAATGCGCTCTCCCTACGTCTTGCGCTTCTTCCCGACCGCCTCCCCATCACCAGGGTCCAGGAGAGAAGAATGAAGCAGGCATTGCCACGTGGGCCCCATGGTTTTTTATTTATTTTTGCTAACTAGGATGCCACGTCAGTAAAACCAACCACCTATAGTGTCATAGGACCTAATTTAGTCCAGTTTCGTAAGTTGGGGTTAGGATTTTAGTATTGTGTGTAGGGATATGATATTTAAACTTGATGGAAAGATGAGGAACCTTAAGTATACTTATTACGATTATCAACGATGAGTCGGCCCTTGGATTAGGTGTTCTATTTTTTGGTTTTTGTGTTGAGAATAATATGGTTGGGTTTTCACGTTGGACACATCTGGGCTTTGAGGTTAAGGTTGCAATTTCGAGTAGGAAGTTGAAGCATTTTCTGAGTTGAAAAGTCAAGTTTGCAATTTTGAGTAGAAACGCGAATCATTTGATTCATTTCCGAGTTGAAAAGTTGAGATTGACAATCTCAAAGTTCAAAGTGAATTCTTTTTTTTACACAGTTCAAAGTGAATTTTGGTTAAAACCCTCAGGTTGTATTTGGATAATGGGAAATATGTGGTGGAATTGGGATTGGGAAATGAACGAAGGGTTAGGATTAAATGGAAGAAGGAGAATAAATGGTTAAAATTTAAAGATGTCTTTTAGTGGGTGGGAAATGATTTCCCTTTCCCATTAGCCAAACGGGGCCTCAGTATATTTTCAATTAACAGAAGTTTAATACTTAATAATTTAAATGACAGTTCAATATTTTAGCCATGACACATGGCATCCAATGAAAGGGTCGTCCACTAGAAATAAAGGTGACAGACGATCACTGAATAGGTACACCCATACCAGCCACCTTTCTATTGTCTTTGCACTTGGATTGAAAAGTGGTCACAAGGGTTAAAACCCTGAATCATTCGGAAATGTTTTTGCCACACAAATGAGTTCCAAATACACTGAGTGACACTACGGGTCAGTCACTAAAATTTCTGAAATGTTGTTACCTACTCGTCTCTTTGTCCAAAAATAAACCAAACTCGTACGGTGTGAATATATCTTCAATGTTACCTACACTGTACAAGGTTAGCTTATTTTGTAACGGAGGGAACATACATCTTTCGATAACATTATAATTGTTGTGCCGCCTTGGTTCAGTTCAAATTTCTTTTTACAAAATTCCGCTTGCATCTTTGTCCCGGCGCGGCAAAAAAAAAATCCACAATAAAGGTATCATATAAAAACAATGATGGCAGTTAATCAGTTTAGGTTGGTCACTATCTTAATAGATGCAAATTAAGTTGGGTTGTAGCGAAACCAACGAACGGCATTTGTTTTGTGCTCCCACGATACAATCCCTTAAATCAGCACACACGCACAATGCATGCACCACATTTTAGATCGATTTCGTAGAGAATATTTCGATCACATAGCCACAATTAATCTACATTCTAGAAGCTCCAACAAACTTATTTAATTAGTTCCTGCAAATTAACATTTACAAATATCTCAAACTGAAGAAATAACTTTAATTGCAATGCCGGCAGCCAACCCGGCGTGTATGCTTCCATTTGTTCGATGTAAAGTGCTGTTTATCCATAGGAAGAGATGTAATATTAATAACTACTCCATCCGTTTCTAAATATTTGACGTCATTGACTTTTTTTAAATATGTTTGAATGTTCGTCTTATTTAAAAAAATTTAAGTAATTATTAATTATTTTTCTATCATTTGATTTATTGTTAAATATACTTATATGTATACATATAGTTTTACATATTTCACAAAAGTTTTTGAATATGACGAAAGGTTAAACATGTGCTAAAAAGTCAATGGTATCAAATATTTAGAAACGGAGGGAGTATGTTTGTTGAAAATGTTTTACCTTCTCTCAATCTTAATAAATTTGGTCAGGGCAGGCACAGAAAAAAAAAAACAGGAAGACATAACAGCAAAACAAAAACAGTGGAAATTAAGCATTGCTAATTACAAACTTTTCTGATCATTCACACCATTTTCATGTTTGATCCAGCTCAAACTTCACTACAACAGCTTAGAACACTCTTAGCTAGCAAAAGTCCTAATCACAGCCATTATAAATAGACACAAGCAATTAGCCTCATCTACACACACTCCCATCACTCCAATTAACCAAAGCTAATTAAGCTAGCTCAAGCTCTAATCCACATTTAGCTAGAATGGCGCCGTCCAAGTCCACAGCCGCCGCCGGCGTCCTCCTCGTCCTGCTCGTCGCGGCGGCGGGCGGCGGCGCAGAGGCGGCGGCGACGACGTGCGTGGCGTCGCTGCTGGAGCTGAGCCCGTGCCTGCCGTTCTTCAAGGACAAGGCGGCGACGGCGGCGCCGGAGGGGTGCTGCGCGGGGCTGTCGTCCATCGTGAAGGGGGAGGCGGTGTGCCTGTGCCACATCGTGAACCACACCCTGGAGCGCGCCATCGGCGTCGACATCCCCGTCGACCGCGCCTTCGCCCTCCTCCGCGACGTCTGCCGCCTCTCGCCGCCGGCGGACATCATCTCCACCTGCGCCAACGAGAAAGGTAAAATCAATCAACGCGCCGCGCCGTGGCGTGGCGTGGCGTGTGCAGAAGTCCAATGCAGACGGTTTTCGAATCATCTAAGTTGACTCTACGTCTGTAATAATATAACACTCGTCTCCGTAAATTAAATTCTCAATTTCTGAATTTTTGTTTTGCCGCGCGCTGGGCTCCCTCTCTTGTTTAAAATCCAAGAGATAGGCATAGGCCCAATACAGGGTTTAAAATTTCGGTCCAAAACTTCCGAAAATTCCAAAATTTGGGAATTTAGGATCCTCCCCTCTCATGCAACTATTTCATCCAAAATTTTTAGATTTTTAAAAATATTTATGAATCTGGTTAAAATTAGTTGAATTCAGTCAAAATGTGTTTAAATTTCAAAATGTTTCGTTCGAAATTTCTGAATTTTGATACACCCGATTTTTTTTGTCCATTTTGGAAGTACAAAGCCCGGGGCCAAACGAATGTCCAAATGATCAAGTTTAAAATCTCAGTTCTAACTAGGACTTTGTTTATTTATAGATTTATATGTTTTAAAAGTGCAACGTTGAGTAGTGCTAATTAACTAATGTACATATCATGATTGACTTGTGTGTAGGTGGTGTGCCGCCTCTCTACTCTTGCCCGGCTCCATCTGCCTGAGGTAAACCGTCGTCAACCACAAAATTATTTCCACAAAAGAGCCTATAACCATGCTAAATTTCTACAGTAACTACTCATATAATTCAGCTGTTTTGTTTATATTTTTTTTAGGGGAGCTGTTTTGTTTATAATGACAAGTGCTTTTTAATTCATGCAGTATATATGAGAAAAGAATAAATGTTACCAAAGGAGGGATTTCAACATATCTAAAAGTCAAGATGGAGTAACTTTGGTATACAAGACCAACATATATATCACGTTGTTAAAGGACAAGTAGATATTGGATTATTGGCATATACTGATATATCCATGCTAATATTAGTATATGTATATTCTGCAACATGCATGGACATACACATTGTCAAATGAAGTACTAAGTAACACGGAACGTGTACTAGCTCGTGCTACTGTCGTGCTATGCGCTGTCAATAGAAATAAAATATTTTACATTGTGGTATTAAGCATTAAAGCCATATTGTATTCTAATATTATCGGGCGGAGATTGCGGATTATTCCTACCACACTTTTAAATAATTACAATTTCTCTAAAAAAAAGTTGCTATGTCAGTATTTTTTACAGCACTTGTTTATCTCTACTATTATAAAAATTTAAGATGTTTTTGTCGAGGCTTTTCGTACGTCACCGCGAGATCGTGTCGGACACAAAAAATCGCAAACTTGCCGATATAGTTTAATTTTTTTCCATCTATCGGAATAAATCACGTCAGACCCTAAGCCCACTTGGTCGCGTTCTCCCCTTTCTTTCAACAGCCTGTATAGGTGAGGCTTACAGCCGATACGAGCAGCGGTTCCCGATTTCCCGCGAGCCACGCGCTCTCACACATCGATTGTGATTCTAGGACGAGCCTGACACAGATCGTTTTTTCTTCCAACTCCACCTCCACCAACAATATCTCCTTTGTATGTACGTACGTATGCACCCGCTGCCACGAATAGATCTATATAGATCGAGAAGCAGAGAGAATTAAGGTCTTGATGGGTGTGGTAAGAAGGCAACGGCAGCGATGGCTGGTTGATGGTGATGGTGTTCATGTCGGTGAAGGCGTGGTAGGATGTACGCTGACGCTCTGCGGTTGCGATCGCATATATTAACAGGGCGGAGCTAGAACGAAATGGATGGTGGTGCCACTTACTTAAATTATTCTACTCTAGATCGAATTTAAGCTGATGCGGGTGCCTAAGTTTGTATTGAGAGGATACATACATGGTGAAAATAGATGATCTATAGCTAAAAAATTTTCTTGACCGGGTTCCTGGACACCCCCTAGTATACTCTAGCTCCGCCCCTATATATATATATATATATATATATATATATATATATATATATATATATATATATATATATATATATATATATATATATATATATATATATGAAGGCTAGCATCTGGTGGGTAGAGACAATGGCTGTGGGCTAGCGGCATCGATCAAAATTAAGATAGTCGAGCGCGTCATCACAGCCAGTGCCGGCGCGACGCGACGCGACCGATCGACACGCCTCATACGTCATCATCGCCGTCCGTCCTCGATCGATGTCACCCAGGCCACATCGTACGACGGCCACTATACGGTGGCGGGGGCCGGCGAACACGACGGAGATGCTTTCCATGCAGTACGGCTTCGACGACCCGCTGGAGCGGTTTGATGATCGACCTCTCTCCTTCACGTCCGCGCGCGCTGCTTCAACTCCCGCTGTCCCGCAGGCCGCATATACTCCCTCTGTTTTAAAATATTTGACACCATTAAATTTTTAAGTATGTGTTTAGCTATTCGTCTTATTCAAAAAATTTAAGAAATTATTTATTCTTTTCATATCATTTGATTCTCATGTACATATATAGTTTTACATATTTCATAATTTTTTTAATAAGACGAACGGTCAAACATGTGCTAGAAAGTCAACGGTGTCAAACATTTTAAAACGGAGGGAGTAGGATATATCTACGTCCGCGCGCTTGTTTCCTGCTCAACTTCCGCATGTTATGTTAGGACCAGGCCTCGATCGCCAAGCTCCGGCTGCAGGTCCAGCATGGGGCCGCGTGCGTTAGTGTACAACCATATATCAATTGTATTTATCGACCTTTACCAACCATATATCAATTTTTATTGGGTGTAGCTATATTTATGGTGCTATATTTTTTATAAAAAAATAGTCGGCATGTATTTACATTGTAAGTCCCTAAATTACATATGTAATTTTAGTGTATTTACAATGTAAGTCTTAAAATTACATATGTAATGTAAATTTGAAAATTACATACTAATTACATATATAAGTGAGGTGTAAATGAGGTGTAACTACTGCGTAAGTGGCTGAAAAAAAGTCGACTGTAGCATATGGCGCCATATTTCTAGCAACTCCGTATAATATATAGCTCATGCATGGAACCCAATATATCTTACTACTCATCTGTGTTGACAGTACGTATTTGCCAAAGTATCTTTTGTCGGTCCTGTTTTATCATGTGTTTACTAGCTGTTTAATTCTTTGACGGGCACAAAACTTTAAAAACGGACCATTTAATATGCACAATTAAAATTGTTTTCACCCGTTGCAACGCACGAGCATTTATGCTAGTAATATATAAAAATTTAATTCTTCCTTATAAACTAAACGTCGGGATTTTATTTTATTATCTAACAAACTGATCGATCCATTCATCAAGTTTTATCTGTATTTCATATAAGAAGCAATCCATAATTATCATATTAGATTCCCTTCTATCAACTCAGCATATTGAAGATCTAATGTGACCATGCCTACGACGGATATAACCATTGATCATATCATATACCCACAGGTGGTCTCGTTTCATAACAAGTGCCAAATTAATCTAATCAAGAATACGACACTACCTCATAATGTATGCGTTTATATGTTCATGACCAATCCACTTATTTGGGGCTACATATGGAAGATAAACACGATGGCCATGGTGCATGCAGAGATGGAGATGAATTGTTGTTTAATTGGAATTATTAGAAATGATTTTAAAAGCCTAGAAGAGAAGATCTAATTTTAAATAATAAATTCCAATATAAAATGGGGCCAGATAAAATTTCATTAAATACTTTGCTTGATTCTATAGTTCCTAGAGTTTTCTGGGATTTATTTGAGCCAAGGAAGTATTTTTAATAAATGGAATTGCATTTCATGAATAATTTAAATTGGAAAATATTTTAAAAGTCCTCTTTTGGCTTTGGGCCGAAAGTCGGCCCAAAACCTTCCCTCTCTCTCCTCTTTGGCCTAGTCAGCCCGCAGCCGCCCGCGCGCGCGCGCTCGGTCGCTGACAGGTGGGTCCCACCTGTCGGACTCGTCGTCCTCCTCGCACCGAAACCCTAGCCGCGCCGCGCCGCCGCCACCTTTCCAATTCGGCCGCATCTTTCCCGATCCGGTGAAATCGTTTGAGGGGAAATGCTCCCCGGAATCTTCTCTACCTTTTTTCCTTTTGGAATCGATCGCCAATTCGGTTTGGAAATCCGTGAATTCGAGTTCGATTCGGATCGATCTCTCTCCTCCGAACCCTAAACCTTCCATCGCGTCGCCGGTCGCCGTGGGCCTTCGCCGCCGCCTCCTTGCCCCTATAAAAGGACCCCCGGTGTCTCCGCTATCCGTCGCCACCCTCGCCATTGCCCGCCGCCGTCTGTAGCGCCCTAGCACCGTGCAGCTGTGCGCTGCCGTCGCCGCCGCAGCTCCAGCCGTGCGCGGCCGTCGCTCCGGTCGTCGTCGCTGCTCGGGGAGGTCACCGTCGTGGTCACCAAGCCGTCGCCGATCTCGTCCACCCCTCCGTCGTCGCCGTAGGTTGCCGTCGTCGTCAAGCCGAAGGTCGCCGCCGCTTCTTCCTCGACGCCGTCGCCGTCCGTTGATCTTCTGCCGCTGTTTTGGTCACCGGTGAGTTCGCCACGTCGCCCTCTACGTGTTGGTGTCCTCCATTCGCGGCGTCGCGTCGTCGTTCGCCGGCGAGCTTGCGCGCCCGAGCCGCCGCCGGTGATGACGTCATCACCGATGTCATCGGTGCCGTCCGTCGTAGACCGGTCGTAGACCGTTAAATCTTGGCCGTTCGTTGTGGATAGGATCGATCTCGGCCGTTCGTTTCCGTGAGCCGCCGCCGTGCACCCGGTCCACCGCGAACCCTAACCGCTGACGCAATAATTTCCTTTTCCTTTTAAAAAATAATTCATTATTGCGTCATCATTCAATTAAAACCCATATAAGTGTTTTAATCCGATTTAATCTATAAAAATTCATAACTAATTCATCTTAGCTCGGATTTAGTTGGTTCAAGTCTCTAATTTTTTCTAAAATTGAGATCTACATGTTAAAAATATCCACATGTACTGTTCATGCTTGTTTATGTGCTGTTTTGGTGATTTTGCTCTTTTCTCTTTAGATTCCGACGTTTCCGGAGAGTCTGAGTTTGCAGGAGAAGATTTTGAAGAGTTCCAAGGCCAGCAAGGCAAGTCACACAGATCCCAAACAACCCTTTGAGCATGTTGATCCCGTTTAAAGCTATTGTTTCTATTCAACTATTGCATTTATTTTCGAATGTCGTTGGGTGGAATTAACCTATTGTTTGTTATAGCCTTTTTGTTCTTGATTACTTTATTCCTTGATACCTTGGGTTATTATAACTTGACTAGTTGGGCTTTATATATTGGTTCAGCTAGATATTAGATATGATTGCTTAGCCATGCTTAGAAACATTAGCACACTATTGGGATAACTTATGACTCACTATTATTTAATGATGGCTTAATGATAGCTCATGATGGTTAATCATGATTGGTTAATTAATTAATTTGCCAACTAAAACCTGATAATGGTGGGTTGTGAGCACATGGTTTTGATGGTCGTGCTCATGACAATTAAGGACCGGTTCATGAGTTTCGGTTGTGAGATATTAACCGTGCCAACCACAAGCCAGCGTGGGCAACAGCTTTACCTTTTGTATAGCATGGTTCATTGCGGGGCACCAGACTGAGAAGTGGCGGAGATAAGCCCACGGGGGTCGCTGGGGAGTCCATGCCTTGTTTATAAGGGGGTGATTATGATCCAGGAATGGTGCGCTGTGGTGGATTGTGTTGTGCGAGGGGTACTGTCACAGCTCCTTTCTGAGGTACCGTGGTGGTATTGAGGCGCATGGTGACATGTTGTGGGGCTGTGTCTTGTGGGTACAGTGGTACACCTCTGACCAGAGTAAAACTATTCGAATAGCCGTGCCCGCGGTTATGGGCGGGTCTAACAATGTCTTTCGTGATTAGTTTCACACTTCTCACCATAATAAAAGATGCTATAACTGGTAATAATTTGATTAGCTCCTGGTTTGGAATGGTATATTCCTGGTTTGGAGATAGAACTGTGCAGCCGGGATAGTTGTTCAGAATGGTTGGGCCTATGCAACAGGGTATGTTGTATAGCGTTGGATTAATATTGTTTAATTACTACTTAACTATTTTATTAAATTCTGAAATGTTTATTAAATGCTGTTTATGCAAATGAAACCCTACTATGCCATCCTTTGTTATCCTGTGCACTTGCATATTTGCTGCATGGCTTGCTGAGTATGTCATATACTCACCTTGCAATCATTCATCAGAGGAGGAGTTCTACAGTGATGCTGATGGTGTGGAGGATTAGGTGTAGCCCTGGTCAAGCTGCCTGTGGAGTGGAGTCGTCTGCGCCGTTTATCTTATTTTTCCGCTGCTTAGATCTTTATTGATTGAGAGGAACTATCTACCTCTGTAATGACATTTTATTCGCTTATTAATTAGAGTAATAATTGTACTCTATTATCAATTTGTTATTGTGTGCCTCGGCTGATTCCTAAACGAGGGTTCACACACATGTAAGCGTTTAGAATTTTGGATAGAAATTCCGGGCGTGACAGCGTTCTGGAATCCAATTCGGCCTCCTAAGATAGTGCTGAATTCAAACGGTCGCCAAATCTCCATATGGCCTACGTTTTGGGCCCACGAGTACTTTATGGAAAGCTCTCGGAATCCTCTTTCCAACGAATCCAACCTCATTGTCAAATTCCATCCGAGTCATCGGCAATTGAAAAAACAAGGGGCTGCATTGTCTGTAATGGGCCTATAGGTCTGTAACTTCGTCTGGGACCCTGGTCCAAGGGGGGCTGTGCCCTAAACAGAGGGAGGACGCCCTTATGACCTCCTCTATCCTTTAAATAGCTAGTAACCCCTTCAGGGTTAGTTGGGTTTTGATTAATTGTAAGTTTAGCTATTGCTACTTCGCTTGTAGCACGCGTGTCGGCTAGACCGTCCGTCTGCTTGTTCGGAACCCCACTTTATCGTATATCAATTCATCTTTGTGCGTCTTGTCTATCTAGCAATTCAGTTGCTTTCTATCTTGTTCTTACTTGTTCTCGATTGCTTGCAGGAATAGGGTTGATCTGCACCAGCAAGATCAACAAACTCTCGGAGATGTGTATTGATCGCTAAGGCACAACATAACAACGTCTCGTACGGTTGTAGTCGGATCGTCAATATTTCTCCTAAATCGTAGTTATCTCAACTCACCGAAAGATCAAGCCACCCCATACATATCAAGATCTTAGGCCCCCTATAATTTTTCCGATTCATTTTTGGAAACAAATGCATTTGGATGCCACCGAAGAGCCGTGTTTGTACTTGAAAAAAACTGATCAAACAACTTTGAATTATTCTCGATTCTGGACCGTTCAAAACTGATTGGACGGCTTAGATCGCTCAACTACACCATACATACAACCACTCGACCTGTTTGGCTAGGAAACATTCAAGAGTGCCTTCTCCAGCCAACTCGACGAGCTCCCCGTCCACCTCTTTCGCGAATCGCGATGGCCACCCCTAACTATACATCACTCTTTCTGTTCTAATATAAGTGTAACCTAGACCCTTTTTAGATCCCATTTCAAAATTTTTCACCCTGTCACATCGAATGTTTGAATACATGCATGAAGTATTAAATATAGGCTAAAAAATAACTAATTGCACAGATTGCGACTAATTTACGAGACGAATCTTTTAAGCATAATTGCTCCTGATTTAACAATATGGTGCTACAGTAAATATTTGCTAATGATGGATTAATTAGACTTAATAAATTTTTCTCACGGTTTACTAACGGATTCTGTAATTTTTTTTTATTAGCGTCCTAACACCCCATATGTAATACAAGTACCTGAGAAGACAGACTAACTACGATTCGGCAAGGAAACCTATGCCGAATTGCATCTGAATACACACATTTTAACAGAAGGCAAAATGTGGAGCAATGCAAGCCCACGGGTTAACGGGCCTGCCAAAATACAACCAAGTTACCAGAATGTGCATCCACCAGCCAAGCAAATCCAACGGCTGACAAAATCGACTGATGGATTAAAATTTGGGATCACCTGTATATTTTATCGACAAATTTTCTTCTAAAAATTTAATAGATATAATTATAATATAATCGTAGTGTAATTATATTATAACTTAAATGTGAATACCGTGTAACTTGTATATAAGTTTCACGTAATTTTGAATCGTTAGATCTTTTACAAGATTTGTTCTGGTAAGAAAGAAAAAAAATTACAGTAGAGATATGTGAGAGGATTTGTTCTCATGACCTTTATTTTACCGAAATAACATGTTACGGAGATTACGAAGAGATATTTAAAAGTTACATACAAGTTATATTATAATTACACTACGATTATACTTTAATTTACATATGTCAATTTTTTTGAGAAAATTTATCGCAAAATATATAGCAAAATTGTTAAAATTTTGCAGGCGCTTGCAAAATAGAAAACCTGAGAAAAAAAGAAAGAAGGAAACACTCGCGTGGCTGCCCACCCGCCGCCGTCGCCGACAACGGCGGCGCGAAGCCGCATCCTCTCCGCCGACGAGCACGCTGGCCCGGAGTCGTCGCCGCTTCAACCGCCGGCCGTCCTGTCCTCGGAGATACGGCAGCGCGTGGCGGCCCCCGGTGGCTGTGCTACGGCGGCCAAAATCGACCGCCGGATTTCCTGTGCTCCACCGCACGGCGGCCTGACGGTGGCTGCTTCTCCTCCGCGCACAAATCCACTCCCGCCCCCCACCATGCACGGCGGCAGCGCTTGACGGTGAGTTCTCCACATGTTTTCCTTGCTGACCTCGATTCGGAATATGGATCCGTGTGAGCCAGTATGATTCAGAGTGGATTCCCGGGAACAAGTCTGATCCGGAGTCGGATTTCTCTTTTGAGGACAACAAATTCCGTTTCAGTTTTCCTTGGGTAACTTCAGGTATATACCTTGCGTCTCTTGCTTCATCACATGTTCCAACTCTGCAAGTATTCAAGCAGGCGACGAATTTCACCTTGCAAGAGGGGCTCGATCTGCTCCAATTATCCAATGGCGCCCTGTAGTACTATAGCCAGGATTATGAACTTAGGGGATCTAGCGAGATGTCCCAAGAATTTGTGCAACCTACTCTTCAGAGTAGTACAATCCAAGCTCCTAGCGCCCCTTCACAGTAGTTTACTGAAGGAAGTGCAAAAAGATGATGGTGATCAGCCATCAATGGCAGAGAGTGTTGTGGCAAATTTACCAGAGCTGTCTCAGGACATCTTAATGGAGATATTTGCCCTCCTGGAGATCCCTGACCTCGTGCGTGCAGGATCGGTCTGTAACTCCTGGCTCTCGGCCTACAACGAATTGCGCAGCCTAGGTATCTATAAACTGTCCCAGACGCCGTGCCTGCTATACACCTCTGAATCTGCTGGCGATAGCGTCGTGTGTCTCTATAGTCTTGTCGAGAAGAGGGAGTACAAGATTACTCTCCCGGAGCCACCCATACGCAGTAGGTTTCTGATTGGGTCCTCACTTGGTTGGTTGATTACAGCTGATGACTTATCCGAGATGCACCTGGTCAATCCGATCACAGGGGAACAGATAGCTCTCCCTTCTGTTACCACAATGGAGCATGTGAATCCCATCTTCAATGAGTCTGGTGCTCTCCACAAGTATGAGTTCTCACTGCACACTGCAACGAGGGTTAGTTATGCAGAGCCATCAATTTTTGCCCTTGGCGAGCTGCGGGATTACATATATAGTAAGGCTTTTGTGTTTACTGATACTTTCACAGGGGGATGCATTGTGGTTCTGATCCACGAGCCAGCTGGTCAAATTTCATTTGCAAGGGTTGGGGATGATAAGTGGACATGGCATCCATCACACTCTCACTATTCTGACTGCATCTACATTGATGGTCTACTGTATGCACTGACTGCACAGGGAGAAATCCATACACTTGATCTCAGTGGCCCCACGATCACGATGAAGATGATAATTGGAAGTTTGTCTTACAGTAGGTACATTGTGCAAGCTCCATGGGGTGGTCTTCTGCTAGTTTGGAGGTCAGTTGAGGACATTGAGGAGGATTACGAGGCTGACTTGCCTGCTGACCATGCAACATTTGTGCGGTATACTAGGGAAATTAAAATATATAGTGTTGATACTATGGGGAAAAAACATGTAGAGATCAATAACCTGGATGGTCATGTGTTGTTTCTTGGTCATAACCAATCACTTTGTCTCAGCACGGAACAATATCCACATCTCAAGGAAAATTATACCTATTTTACTGATGATGACGAAGCTTGGTTATTTGGATTCAAGAATAAGCGTCGTGATATTGGATTATTTGATTTGAAACATAACAGCAGAGAGGAACTCGTGTCTCCTCAGCTTTGGTCCAACTTTCCCGCTCCTGTTTGGATTACACCTAGTTTCACAAAGTTGAACTTCGCCTAGAAGAAGCACTTTTAAGTTTTCTTGTTTATGGATATAATAGTTGTGTATATTTCTTCTTGTTCTGTACAATTTATATGTAAAATTATGATTGGAGAACTGAAAGGTGAATGAGAAGGTTAGGTTGCTCCATATTTGTTTATTTGTACCGACCTTTCTTATGTTTATTTAAATTTCTACCGTCTTAAGGGCAAACAGCAGGTCTTGTGTGATAGCCACTTTCTAGGGAATTAGTGGAATATACAAGGCTAATGTGACCAATGTTATTAGAAAATGGCAAAGCTGTAAGTGCTTCTTAGAGTCTAAAATAACTTAACTCTGAGACTCTGACTGCAATCGGCAGGATGCCTGGGCTAATTTGGAGAAGCCTTGTGGAAGCATGTTTTTTAGTATCTTGAAGGACACCATGTACTTCATATTTTACAACTACAGGGATAGAAGATTGAGAGGTATGGACTGTGTTCTAGCTGCCATCTATTTTTATTTTGAATTATGAGAGACCAAGCCTTCTGTTCCAACGTACTTAATTCATTCTAGATAACAATCGCAGGGTCTGTCTAGGAAGGATTATGAGAAGGAATTGGAGCTTGCGGACAGTGAGAAAACAAAAAAGCTTGAACAGAAGTTGTTTCGTGGTCTTTAAGATTCACTAGTCCTCAAGGAGGTAGGTTCTCATAGTCTTTCCACGTCAAGATCCAGTTTGTGTTCTTTTCACCATTTGATCTTGACTAAATTACGTTTTAACTTTACATGCTGCTAACGGGCAAAAATCTGTAATGGGGCTAGTTTTGATTCCTAGCACTAATACACTTCCGATTTACTTGCAATGATGTTCAGGTGCAAACACTAACTCATCTCATGTACACATATGCAATCGATGTATTAGTTTAGTGCTACGCATCATATCTGCTTGTGCTAGTGTGTGCCCTTGCTAACTGTAGATGGACCCATTCCTTAACTGAGAATTAGGGCCTGCATAAGATATTATCCATTGGCTAAACCTTATGCTCAAGCTTCAGTTTTCATAGGTAATTTTCTAAACTTCTAAACAAGTTTTATGCACATTACACTGTATTGGCTAAAATCGAACCAGCAACAGCTTATAACTTCAGTTATTGTGCACCCATTGTTCCATGTTTATCAGTTTAAATAACACATCCCAGATTATTCTCCTGTTCTCTGAGCGAAAGTCCTTTTTTGCAGAAAGGAGTTAAGGATGGACCATCTTAGCTTGTTTCATCAAGCATGATTTTGCTCTTGTTTCATCGTGGCAGAGCGCATGTGCTCTTATCAAATATGGCAACTAGAATTATGTTAAGGTCTTAAGGAGGTGAGGAGAGTAATGTAAGTCCAGGGGACGTTGAAGGAGAAAGGATGCAGTTGGATGGAGCTGAATGGCAGTGTTCACCATTTTGCAGCTGGAGCTGGAAAACATTCAGGAAATGATAGCATCCTTCTGAAGCTTGATGAGATAATTGCAAAAATAAAGGTGTTTGACTATGCTCCTAAGGTTACCAATGCTTCGGCTGATTTGTTTTGTGTAAGGAAAATATCAGAGAAGCTGTCTGGCGTCTGCTGTTCATTGGGAAGCTTGCCCCTTTCATTTAGACTGGTCAGTTGAGAAAGTTTTGCTTCAACTGCAAAGACTAGAAGGGTGTTTGAGGGCTGAGATTCTTCCGTGAAGTCTATGGAATTTGTACAAAATACAGGTTAATTGCCTTGCCAATTGAAACCCACCATGCTGAAAAATGATCAACACAGTCGATTCATGACGAGTGCTACTTGCGTGCATTTGATGCGATGGTCGTCCAAAAGAAAAAAGATCTTGTGTGCCAGGGCAGAACAGAACAAGCTGGGCGGGTGTGCCCTATCATCTCCAACTCCAAAATTCTGAACAAGCAGAACAAGCAGGGCGTGGCGGGGGTACTCAAACTCAAATAAATTCTGATGGTGTGTAATATACACATTGTGTATATTCTATATTCTGTTCTGTGACTTCCATTCAGCCATGTTGCTACAATCTTGGTTGTTGCCAAATGATGCTTAGTTGGTGCTTTATTTCTCATACAGATGGAGGCGGTTCCTCAAACGTGAACTGCCACGTGACATGGTCACTAACAGGTGGGCCCGTGAGCAGTGGGGCCCACATGTTAGTCACCACGTCCCTCTGACTTCACGTCAGAGGATCCCATTCCCATACAGATATTAAGGCTACTACTGGAATGTGCAAACATATTTATGCTGAGATACTAATCAGTAATCACTTTAGTCACACGCGCATGTCATTCAACACATTTAGAGTACGCAATCAAATCAAATTATGATATTATGATTAAGGGGTTACAGATATCGGTGTTAACATAAGAATAGTAAGCAAGGAACTAATCCAATAGTTAGCAAGGAACCAATCCAAAAACATGCCGAACTTTCAGTTGATCACTCTACCCACCAACCCGCAGGCTGGACGTGGGAGAAGTGGACGTGTAGCTCTAACTCACGGGGAGAGCTTACTATCACCCCGCAATTCCTCTGATTACATGGGATCCGATCTGCTTTAGGGTGCTTCCTATGCCAGTGGAGCAACATCTGAAATGCAAATCAGCAAGCATAATTAGTTCTTCCGAAAACAAATGCAGCAATGTAATGTTAAAGGAAAATTTAAGCACCACCATTCCTCTCTAGCAGACAGATTTTTTGTGACATAATTTTGAAAGTAGCAGTAGTGGCAAACTAATTGGCCACTCAAACTTGATTTCTCGCAGTAGTCCGCGTGCAGATCGACTAAGAATGCAGAAACCAGCTCACCTCCAACCATCTAAAATGCATGTAATTTAGATTAGAATCTCATGCAATGATATATTGTGCAAATGAAAAGTGAGCATGCTGTTTAAGAAATGGGACTACCTAAAAATTGCCACAAGTTTTTTGGGTGAGAAACTTTCAAATGTGACTACAATAATAGTTGGAGTGTAATTACATTGTCCCCGCAAAAAAAAGGAGTGTAATTACATTGTAACTACTACCCATATACAATTGTGTAAAAACATATTTGTGTTTAATTGACTAGCATCATTAGCTTTTGACTACGTGATCGGGAGTTCTATTCCCCACTAGTGCATCTCTGTGAAAAAAAATTTTCCTCTCACACGAATCTGGATGCAATCCAAGGATCACAAATTTAAAAATTTTGAGTTTTTTTCCCTCTCATACGAATCTTGATGCAATCCAACGGTCATAAATTTAAGGGGCAATTGCATTCTTACCCCTACTTTCAGTTCTAATAGTGATTTTACCCCTATTTTTTAGGGTTTGTGATTTTATCCCTACTTTTTTGAAATGAACCAATCGATTGCCCCTGTTCTGTTAGCTTCGGTTAACGGTGTTAAATATGTGGTAAGAAGACAAGTATACCCTTGCATATATGCGCCTACTACTTTTACGACAGGAGCCATGCTTGCATAGACTCTGGACATGTTTCAAAATGGAATTTTGCTTATTTCAAATCCGTCCTAAATTTTTTACGAACTTTCAGAAAGTTTGACAAATATGACATGAATTCAGCAATGACTTTTACAGAATTCCGATAGAATTTCAGAAAAAAAATTGACAGGATTTCGACAAAATTTCAACAATAATTTGTAGCAAACATCACAAACAATCACCATTGCAAAGGAAATCTGGATATCTTTACGAATCACGATATAGAATTGTGCTTCTGAAACTCTACATTTGTTTATCATTGGAGCAAAGAAATAACGCTATCACATCCTCGAAACTGACGGGATTACATTAGACATTTGGACCCAAGCTCACATGCACAATTGATAAAATACTCACTAAAAAGACCCCGTGTACAGGAAGAGGGGGGGGGGGGGGATTAATCTGCTCTGAACTTATTTATACGAGGAAATTTGCCACTGGTTTAACGAAGTAATCATGGCAGGGGACACCACAGTTACCAGCTGCTCGTTGAAGCGGCCACGCCGCCTTCGCTCGCTTCAGCCGCCACCGGCTGCTTTGCATCACCGTGACGCTCCGAGCCTCCGACGCCTCCGCCTGCTGCAGTCGTCGGCTTGTCGCTGCCTCCCAGCTCACTGCGTCGTCGTCGCCTGCTCGCGTCGCACCTCTTCGGCTCGCAATAAGCGTCGCCGCCTCCGATCGCTACAGGCAGCCGCCGCCGCCGCCTGCTCGCCTCCCGTAGGTTTGGGGATGGGGAATAGTTGGGACGGGCCGGACGGCTAGCCAGACTCCAGATGATTACTTCTCAGGGGTAGGAAGGACATTTCATATTTCATAAATAATTTTTTCTGCTCTCTTTTCTATATTTTTACTCAATAATTATGGGCCCACCTAACTGCCATCCAAAGTAGAGGCAAACGGCTGATTTGTTTCAAAAAAGCTGGGGTAAAATCACAAACCCTAAAAAATAGGGGTAAAATCATAATTAGAATTGAAAGTGAGGGTAAGAACGCAATTGTCCCTAAATTTAAATGCTTTGAGCTTTCTACTGTATGATCAGGAGTTCGACTCCTTGGCAATGGAAAAAAGAATCAAGGGCCTATTTGATTCTCTACCCTACCAATTAATTGGTAGTGCCAAAATCTAAGTAAATTTTAGCACTACCTATTTTTTTTGGTAGAGCAAAGTTAGCTAGCTATGTTTGGTTTGGTACCAATGTAAAGCCAAATTTTAGTAGGATGGTGAAGAAGATTCTAGAATATAGCCAAATTGAATATGTACACTACCAATTATTTGACATCAATCCAAACTAGCACATTTCCTATTTAAGTTACCAAAATTTTGGTATGGCATGTTTTGCCTTTAATCCAAAACGGCCCCAAGAGACAATTCAAGGATAAAAAAAAGTTTTTTTAGCAATTCCGTTAAGGGAAAGAAGAAGAGGTGAGGGTGTTGTATGTACCACTGCTCGCCGGCGAGGTTGAGGCGAACTGGTGTTATGTTCACCGGATGTTGGTGTACGCATCGCAGAAGACGCAGAAGACGTGGAAGACGCAGTGGCATCCTTCTTTCGTCGAACAGATTGGAGCATCCAGGCTTGGTTGCATGTTCGACCCGTTCTGGCGCCCTTGCCTGCGACCTCGCCATGGGCTGCTCGGGTGGTCTCCGGCGAGCGCTCGCGGCGCTGGTCCGGGCTCGCGCGCTGCCGCCTCCTTCTGCCCATGGTTCCTCTCCGGTCGGCGAGCTGACGACGGCGGTGGGCGGCGCGATTTCTTGGCTCGTCGCCCAGCGCACGCGTTCTTGCCTCGCCGACAAGGGAAACACGGGTGGTGGTGGTCGGCGGCGGAGCGTGGCGGAATTCCCGGCGGCAGAGGCGGTGTCGTCCCCGGCGGAGCTCCCGGCGACGCAGGTCGGCAGGTGTCGCTCGCTGGGATGGTGGCACGCGTGGACCTGTGTCCGCCGGTGGGCTTGTCGCTGTTGAGTTGTGATCCAAATTCATTTGCACTTAATAAAGGCCAGCTTCTGCCGTAGTGGAGTGAAGGCTGAAGCTGGCTCATTGGGTTGTGTGCCTGGGGACGCCCGGGGGTGCGGGGGCGGAGCCCCCGCGGTACGGATCATCATCCTTTTTAGGGTTCCACTATATATACCTCTTGTAAGCCGCCGTGCAGCGATGTAACCTCACCTTAGATATAGTGAAGATATTTTACCGGCTGACGCCCGTGGTTTTTTCTCTCCTGTTTTGGAAGGGTTTTCCACGTTAAATCTCATGTCTTTTATGATTGATCTATTGTTTTTTATCGTTTGTTCACCCATCGTTTCCTAACAGTCGCCCGGCGCGACAGTTCTTGGTGCGGCAGAAGCGGTGTCGTTCCCGGCGAAGCTCCTGGGCCCCGGCGGCGGAGGTGTCAGCCCGCGGGGATGGTTGGCGCTGGCGCGCACGCGCGCACCCGCGATCGCCGGCGGGTTCTTGGCCAGGGGAGCTCCCGGTGGCAGAGGCGGCGTCGTCTTCCCCGACGGTTCTTGGCTCAGCCGAGCTCCGGGCGTCGCACGTGTCGCCCGCGGGAAAGGTTGGCGCGCGTGGACCCGCGGTCGCCGGCGCAGGAACCAGCCGAGCCGCGAGAGGAACCCACGGGCGTTTCTTGCTTCTTGCCGCGTCGAGGCAGAAACAGCGGAGGCGCCGCGGCGGGTTCCTGTGTTGGCGGCGGAGTTCTTGGCGAGTTCTTGGTGGAGGAAGAAGATGGAAGCGCGAGTTTTTGGTGGCAAGAAGAGAGCGGAATTGCGGGAGTTACTGGCGAGATGGTGGTGGAGGGAGAAGATGATTTTGACGGCGAGTTCTTGGCGGCGACGAGGGGGCGTGATTTGGGGAATTCTTGGCGAGAAGGTGGAGGAAGAAGATGATTATGACGGCGATTTCTTGGTTGTTTAAGAGGGAATGGGGAGAGAGGGGAGATGGAGAAGGAAATGTTGTGGTATTTATCGGGGAAGAATCGTCTCGATCCTTCCACCGACCATCCCGGAAGGCCATCGTCTTCTCCGGCGCCGTCATGTGTTCGATGGCGAGCTCTGCAAACTCGAAGCTTCTCGAAGCGTTCTTGCGGCTGGAACGCAATACTTCTTCTCCGGTGGCTCCGTTTTGGTGGCGAGCGTGGCTCGCACCGGCTTGGCGAGAGTATCGCCGCCGGCGTGCACGAGCGCCATGGCAGCTCACGGCGCCGGTGACATCTTAGCAGAAGCAGATGGGCTGTGGGCGCACGTATGAGACGTGGGCCTATCACTTGCATTTCAACTTTCAAGGCCCAAAGAGTGCGGTGTTTAATCCCACCTCGCTAACCAAACCACAGCAGCACCGCTTATAAATTGAACCGTGTTTTTTGTTTGCAAGTGATATCAGGCATTTGAGTATTGAAGTTTCATTGGTCTAAAGACTTATTTTTGTTCAGTCTGTGTTCTCTCTCTCCCATTCTTTTTTTATTTTTTTTCTACAATGTTTTTTTTAAGAATTACACTTACTATTGTTTAGTGTGTGTTCTCTCTCTCACATTCTTTTTTATTTTTTCTACAGTTCTCTCTCTCCCATTCTTTTTTATTTTTTTTCTACAATGTTTTTTTCAGAATTACACTTATTATTGTTTAGTGTGTGTTCTCTTTCTCACATTATTTTTTATTTTTTACAATGTTTTTTAATTACACAGTACAACGCAGACACTCATAACGCACGCACGCAAACCCTACCCCTATGAGCATCTTCAAAGACTGGACCGGCAAATCCATCTTGGAGATTGACGAAGTCATCACAGGCGCTTCGCTGTCGACGGATACGTCGCCTACCACTAAAAGTATAAAGCTGAATATGCAAGATACACTCCCATAGAAAGTCGAACCCATGACTTTTTTTTTCTACAATGTTTTTTTTTAGAATTACACTTATTATTGTTTAGTGTGTGTTCTCTCTCTCCCATTCTTTTTATTTTTTTCTACAATGTTTTTTTAGAATTACACAGTACAACGTAGACACTCATAATGCACGTATGCAAACCCTACCCTTACGAGCATCTTCAAAGACTGGGCCGGCAAATCCATCTTGGAGATTGACGAAGTACCACAGGCGCTTCGCTGTCTACGGATACGTCGCCTATCACTGAAAATAAAAAGCCATTAAATCCTGAAAAATACGCTCCCATGGAAAGTCGAACCCAAGACCTAAGATGCTACTGAGACTCTTGTAACCATTAGCCAGCTTGTTTAATATAGACCAGTAAAATTGTACACATCACTTTTCTGGTCTACAATGTTACATTGATTTATTTGTTATTCATGCAGGCCAATTAAAATTTAGATGTCAACCTATTAAGAAAACAATATATTATAAAGAAATGTACGTAATTATCGAATGAATTTCAATGATAATTATTAATGAGTAAAGTGCATGTGCGGTTCTTAAACTTGTAGCGGTGTGTCATATAGGTCCCCAAACTCTCAAAATGCATATCCAGGTCCCAGAACTTATCAAAGTGTATCATCTAGGTCCCAAATCAACACATCCCCACTTAGATTCTACGTGGCGCTGATGTGACCTGCCACACGGACGTGACGTGTCCTTTTTTTCTTTTCCTTTTCTTTTCCATTTTCTTCTCAAGGAGAAGAAAGGAAAATACAATAGAAGGAAAAAAGAATATTTTTAAATGGGTCCCATTTGTCAGTCAAAATTACGCCATGTTATATCTGTGTCACATGCCACATCAGCGCCACGTAGGATCCTAAAGGGGCTGTGGTGATTTGGGATATAGATGGCATACTATGACAAGTTTTGGGATCTGGATATGCATTTTGAGATATTAAGGACCTATATGGCACACCTCTACAAGTTTAAGGACCGCCCGTGCACTTTACTCATTATTAATTCTAGGTATGAATTAATTATAGACTACCGACTAAAATTTATACGCCAACTGATTAAAAAATAGTACTCCCTCCATTCCAAAATACTATAAGGCACAACCACCATTATTATCATCTTGTAGTTTGGATCATCCTAATAAAGATAATGCATGCATCCAATAGGATTAGATAACATGAGTGGAGAATTTAAAATAATAATAATTTAATAGAGAAGATGTCATAGTTAATTACATACTTGCATGTATGCCTTATATTATGGAACATTTAAGAAAAGTAGTTGTGACTTGTATTATGAAATTATGAAATAGAGGGAGTACATTTTTACTCGATCAACTTCCCGCAGTATTTTATACTGCAAAACTCTCTTCGTCAACATTATTACAGTGTGAATCAATACATCAAGCTACATATATCTGGGCCTACGCCGTAGTACCGAACCTTGTGGTCCTAATAGCAAGGCTAATAGTGCAGCTAACAGCAAGTTCCAAAATTTTATCATGTCAAATAGAGCTAACTTAAAAACCAACTCATATAATAAGCTAACTACAAGTTAGCTATAAGCTACCTTGGTTAAAGCATACATACATTAAATCATTAAATACTTATATGGATACATCAGAGAGGTTCTGTGTAGGACCCACATAAACGCATTTTTATCGTCTCTTCTGGCTGCACGCAGGCGTTACGGTTTGGGGAGCTGTGCAAGCGCCGGCGTCAAAACAAGCGCCCGCTTGTTTCTTTTTCTTTCTCTACAATTTTCTTTCCTTAATCTCAGATTAAGTTGATTAACAAGTTTTGGAGCGGGTTTAATAGCGCTATTGTACCTGCTCTAAGCCTTTCTCGTATTCATGTATTTCTTTTCCACTCAATTCTCTCAGGTCTAGAGTATTTTGAATTTTTTTTGAACTCAATAGAGAGTTGCATTTATATGTATATATTTATATTTTTGAAATTGAATATGCCTTTCAACTCAATACAAAGTTATATTTATATTCATGATCTTTTTTTACTTTGTCAAATGGTTTACTAAAATCTTTCAAGTTTAGTGATTTTTTCTATTGTTTTAACACAATAGAGAGTTATATTTATTTTATCTATATACCTCCACCCTCTTTACTTTCCCTCTAAACTACCCCTAAACTATTGGTGCAGTCCAAATTACTGTCATGAACTACAATTCTAAACATTTGGCATCCTTAATTTTTCACACTAGACAAACAACCCTCGTCCATTATAGTTTTTGAGTGGTTTTGGCATGAGTTAGTACATGTAGATTTTCAAGATACTCCCTCCATCCCATTTTAAGCATAACCGGAAGTTTCGGTGTCCAACTTTAATCGTTCATCTTATTTGAAATTTTTTTATAATTAATATTTTTATTGTTATGAGATGATAAATTATGAATTGTACTTTATATGTGACTTATGTTTTTTAATTTTTTTTAAAAATTTTTCAAATAAGAAAGACAGTTAAATTTGTACACAGAAAATCATGGCTGCATTTAAAATGGAACAGAGGGTGTATATGATAAAAAATGTTTGGAGGTGGGGGGGGGGGGGCAACGGCAGCATCGGCCGATGTCATGGAAGATAAGTTTTGCTCTAAAGCTGATTTGGCGGAGGACGATGGAAAAATCCAGAACCCTCAATACTCCGTATATATAAACATGAAAAATTAAGGTATAAATAAATAAGAACATAATTGCATATATATGCGTAAAAAATGGATGGAAAATTAAGGTGGCATAACATAGTTGCATTAATAAAAACTGACTAGATTAATTATATACAATCAATCTGTTAATATCCCATTGATAGTCTAATTTAACTAAAAATTCACCGACATTGATCATACTAATCAACCACTCTAATTTATACTCCCTCCGTTTTTTAATAGATGACGCCATTGACTTTTTCTCACATGTTTGACCATTCGTCTTATTCAAAAAATTTACGTAATTATAATTTATTTTGTTATGAGTTGTTTTATCACTCATAGTACTTAAAGTGTGATTTATATCTTATATATTTACATAAAATTTTTGAATAAGATGAATTGTCAAACATGTGAGAAAAAGTCAATGGCGTCATCTATTTAAAAAACAGAGGTAGTAGTTTACTACTACTATTAGTAAACATCTACCACTCTAATTTATACTACTACTATTAGTAAACATCTCCTAAGATAGTAAGGCCAGCAAGGTCGTCATGGCCACCGCAGCAGCCACCGTACCGATCCCCATTGTCGCACCACGCGCTCCATGAGAGGTCGGTGGCGGCGGCGGTGGCGGCAGTGGCGACGGCGAAGTGAACGGCGGCGGGGACGACGGCTTGGGCGCCTGTGGCAGCGAAGGCGCCGCCGTTGGAGATTGCGCCGGCGTGGCCGCCGGAGACTCTGCTAGCTTCCCCGCTGATGGAGGCTGCTGCGGCGACGACGGCTCGTAGGGAGGAAGCACCAGACCTTGCGCTGCAAGATCCAAGAAATTAAATTAAACGGCAGAGTCAGTCAGTGTCAGTGACACGATCCGGCGACGCGCCGGCGCCGGCACGCCGGTCGCCGGCGGCGAGGTGAGGTGTATGCTTACTGTTGCAGAGCTCGATGGGCGGCGTGGCGAGGCCGCAGCTGACGGGGATCTCGAGGGCGTGGGTGACGTTGACGTCGTAGCCGGTGGAGCGGCCGTAGACGCCGTCGGCGATGTAGCAGAGGCAGAACGGGTCGGCGTCGAACGCCGCGCTGTACGCCGCGCAGCACGCCGGCGACGCGGCCGCCGCGCCGCCGAACATGAAGTCCCTGCACGCGAGCAGCCCGCTCAGGGAGTCGCGGCAGTACTCGCCGCCGGCGGCGGCATCGCTGGCCGCCGAGGCCGGCGACGGGAGCCACGCCGACGACACCGCCGCGGTGACCACGGCGAGGACGAGGAGGAGAGGAAGCTTGGAACGCGCCATGGTGGGATATATACTGGGATCGATCGATTGATTAATTGGATTGGATTTTTGCATGGTCCGCGACGTGTATTTATAGCGCCAGAGTTTGAGAAATTTAAGAGAACGCGACATTGGATCGTGCATGAGAGGTTTTCTCATCTTTTTGGAGGAATTTTATCCGAACTCAAATACTGATCGAAGTCCACGCGGCACAAAAACGCATAGCTTAAGCGCTTTGGGGAGAATAGCTAATATGGTCCCTAAAGTTTCGCTCCTGAGTTATTTTAGTCCTTAATCTTTCATATTGTCCAAACAAGTCCTTTAAATTTGTCATGTGGGCTAATATAGTCCTTGGTCCCACCAAAATCGCTACATGGACATGCCATGTCACCTTTCTATGTAAAATCTTTATGATTTGTCCAATTTACCCTTATGCATAGGAAAATAAAAAACAAAAGGAAAAAGTTAAAAAAATATATGGTATATGTAAGAGCAAAAATATACCTCAAAAGGGTGAAAAAAGAAGTATTTTTTTCCTATGGTTATGTCTAATTCACCCTTATATTTATTTTTCTACGATATACGTAAGGCTAAATTGGATAATTCATCATAGATTTTGCATGAATGATGACATGGCATATCCATATGATGATTTTGGTGGACCCAAGGACTATTCTAGGCCTTATGACAAAGGTTAAGGATTTCTTTGAACCATTTAAAAGGTTAGAGACTAAACTGATCCTACAGAGAAAATTTAGTGACTAAAGTAGCTATTCTCCCAATGCTTTGAATTGTTATCCAGCTAAAGAGTCTTAATGGGAGAAAGTTACAAGTTGACACGTTAGAAGATAACCAGGTCGTAGAACGATGTAATAATTTTGTCATCCACTCCTGTATCTGTACGAGTTTTATTTAGTTTCTTTTTTTAAAAGAAAAAATATTGGTCCCAGAACTTGTACTTGATTACACAAGTTTTTTCTGTTTCCAAATTATCCTATTGACAAAAACAAGTTAAAATACTGCAACATTTGGGAGAAAATTTCATTGAAGAGAATAAACACGTGGCCAACTAACTTCATTACACAGTTTTGGTGTAACCAAATTGTCCTATTGACAAAACAAATGAAAATAGTGGAACATTTGGGAGAAATTTTTAGTGAAGAGAAAAAAAAAGACTGGAATACGTGGCGAACAAACTTTATTACACAAGTTTTTATTATGTAACCAAATTGTCCTATTGACAAAACAAATGAAAACATTGCTACATTTGGGAGAATTTCAGTGAAGCGAAAAAGAAAACCGGAACACGTGGCCAACTAATTTGGTCCGTGTCTCTAAAAATATATGAGGCTTTGGGCCCAGTAGGCCTATAGGAGTACGCGCCAAAAAGAATTTGCAAACCCCAAATGCGCCGAGCCGCCGCCGCCGCGGCGGTGGCGCCCGCCGACCCGCAGCTGCTGGCGGCGGCGTTCGAGTCGGCCATCGCGTCGCGCTCGCCGCGCCTCGGCCGGGCCGCGCACGCGCGAGCGCTGAGGCTGATCGCCCCGGCACTCTCGCCCTTCATCTGCGCGCACCTCGTCAACCTCTACTCCAAGCTCGACCTCCCCGCGGCGGCGGCGGCGGCTCTCGCCTCCGACCCACACCCCACCGTGGTTTCGTACACCGCTTTCATATCCGGCGCGGCGCAGCACGGCCGCCCTCTCCCGGCGCTCTCCGCGTTCGCCGGCATGCTCCGCCTCGGCCTGCGCCCCAACGACTTCACCTTCCCGTCGGCCTTCAAGGCCGCCGCTTCCGCACCTCCGCGCTCCACCATCGGGCCCCAGATACACTCCCTCGCCATCAGGTTTGGTTACCTCCCCGTCGACCCCTTCGTGTCCTGCGCGGCGCTGGACATGTACTTCAAGACCGGACGCCTCAAGCTGGCCCGCCACCTGTTTGGTGAAATGCCGAACAGGAACGTGGTTGCGTGGAACGCTGTCATGACGAATGCTGTGCTCGACGGGAGGCCCCTGGAGACAATTGAGGCTTATTTTGGGCTCCGGGAGGCTGGTGGGCTTCCGAATGTGGTCTCGGCCTGTGCATTCTTCAACGCGTGTGCTGGGGCGATGTACTTGTCACTCGGGGAACAGTTCCATGGCTTCGTTGTGAAGTGTGGGTTTGAGATGGATGTCTCTGTGTTGAATTCAATGGTTGATTTCTATGGGAAGTGCCGATGTGCAGGGAAGGCAAGGGCGGTATTTGATGGCATGGGAGTTAGGAATAGCGTGTCCTGGTGTTCAATGGTTGCTGCATATGCTCAGAACGGCGCAGAAGAGGAGGCTTTTGCAGCATACCTGGGTGCAAGGCGTTCTGGGGAAGAGCCAACGGATTTCATGGTTTCCAGTGCGCTCACTACATGTGCAGGGCTGCTAGGCCTTCACCTTGGACGCGCTCTGCATGCGGTTGCTGTCCGTTCTTGTATTGATGCAAACATTTTTGTTGCGAGTGCATTGGTTGACATGTATGGGAAGTGCGGCTGTGTTGAAGATGCCGAACAGATTTTTTATGAGACACCACAGAGGAATCTTGTCACTTGGAATGCAATGATCGGTGGTTATGCTCACATTGGTGATGCTCAGAATGCACTTCTGGTATTTGATGATATGATAAGGAGTGGGGAGACAGCACCTAATTACATCACCCTTGTCAATGTGATCACTTCATGCAGCAGAGGAGGTTTAACAAAGGACGGCTATGAATTGTTTGAGACAATGAGGGAGAGGTTCGGGATAGAGCCACGGACTGAGCATTATGCTTGTGTGGTTGACTTGCTTGGTCGTGCAGGAATGGAAGAACAGGCTTACGAGGTCATACAGGGGATGCCTATGAGACCTTCCATTTCTGTATGGGGAGCTCTACTTGGGGCGTGCAAAATGCATGGGAAGACAGAATTGGGAAGGATTGCAGCTGAGAAGTTGTTTGAACTTGACCCCCAGGACTCTGGCAATCATGTACTGCTCTCAAATATGTTTGCTTCAGCTGGCAGGTAAAATTACCTTATTCACTTTGATGTTTACGTTAAAGTTCCAGGTTCCAGGCTATCTCAGGTCCAAACACAGATACACACACACAAACAAACAAAAAGCCACTCCCGGTGATTTCTCAGTAAATTTCATACTCCTGATGTCATTTGATTGAACTTAGCTCTAGGACATAGCGAAGTATATTTTGATGTCTCTTGGCTTCTTCTGAATGTGGAATGTCCCTGAGTTTTTAATGATTATAAATAATCTCCATCATTGATGGACAAGCGGTAAACTAATATAAAAGGCTAAGTTGAAGCACTATATTGCAGAATTGTAAGGTACATTTGTCAGCATATCTGCCAGAATTCAATGCAGATTAGATGAGCATTTGTATGCCATAATCCATATACTTCCAATCAGCTGTGAAAATATAATCTCGAAGGTGCTTGTTGAGAGCTTGAAGTAGACTAATGCTGATTCCTGAAACTTGTTGCTCATAATTTTTGTTATGAGTGAAGTGCACCAGTGGTCCCTAAACTTGTGCAAGTGTGTCACTTAAGTCCCTGAACTCTCAAATTGCATTTTTAGGTCCCTCAACTTGTCTCGGGTGTCATATAGGTCCAAACGAGTTCTAACCCGCTTCGTGAGATGACGTGGCATGCCATGCTAATGCTTATGTGTCCGTGGGATCCACATGTCACTCACATTGAAAAAATAAAATTTAAAAAGAGGGGAGATTGAGGAGAAAAGGAAGTTTTTAATTTTGAAAAATAAATAAAAAAGAGAGGAGAAAAAAATATGTTCTTAATTTTTTTCTATATGTGACTGACATATGGGTTCTACTGACACGTAGGCACCACCATGGCATGCCACGTTAGCACACGGAGCGGTTTAGAGCCCGTTTGGACTTATATGACACCCGAGACAAGTTGAGGGACCCAAAAATGCATTTTGATAGTTCAGGGACCTAGGTGACACACCAATACAAGTTTATGGACCACCCGTGCACTTTACTCTTTTGTTATTTACTTAATGTATCTTTCAAACTTGTCCAGGTGGGCAGAAGCAACAGATATAAGGAAGGAGATGAAGAATGTTGGAATAAAGAAGGACCCGGGTTGCAGCTGGGTTACCTGGAAAAATGTTGTTCATGTTTTCCGAGCAAAGGACACCAAACATGAAATGTATAATGAGATCCAGGCGTTACTAAGCAAGCTCAGAAAGCAAATGCAAGCTGCTGGATACATGCCAGACACACAATATTCCCTTTATGATCTTGAGGAAGAAGAGAAAGAATCAGAGGTGTTCCAACACAGTGAGAAGCTTGCTCTGGCCTTTGGACTTATTTGCATACCACCTGGTGTACCTATAAGAATCATGAAGAACCTGAGAATATGTGTGGATTGTCATCGCGCATTCAAGTTCATATCTGGTATCGTTGGTAGAGAGATAATTGTGAGGGACAATAATAGGTTTCATCACTTCAAACAATACCAATGCTCATGTGGAGATTATTGGTGACTTCTATCTATGTGCCTATTGATGAATATTATCTGCAAAAAGAAAAAAAAAACACTTCTTCAAAGCCAAAAGGAAAAGGTATGCAATTTTTGTTCCTGTGCAATAGTTATATCAGCATATTTTTTCTTATGTGATTTCTTTAGTTGCTGTATTAGTTGAAACTTGAAAGTTTGAAACTTTTGATAAGCTTCCAAATGAGTATAAGTCTTGTTAGTAATATGATAACTGTGTTATCTGATTTCTACAGTAGAAATTAGAAGCTACCAAATCACGCACCCACTCACAGCACACACATGCATCTTTTACTACAAACTCCAGAGAAACTCAGACATCCAAGAAACCAAGGTCCAACTTGTCCGTTGAACACACATGCATGTGCATATTCTAAACAAATGAGACACACTATGTCATCCTAGGGATTGAATTCAGGGTGGGTCAGAACAAGCTCCCTCATAATGGTAACAGTTACAGAAATGGCTAAATGGGAAATGAGTGTGTTGGAAATCATTATTTCTTTTGTTTAGACACAAATATATTTTTTTCTGACAGTTGTTTGTAAGGATATCTTTCCTAATGTTTTACACCTTTACTTTCCTTTTATTTATTTTGGCTTCTGTCTGTACAGGATTTGGCATTAAACATGGAACATATGTCCTGGTTTACCTAATTACCTTGCTCCATTACTGAAGAAGGCATACTGATAAATCAAAAGAAGAGACCAGCTGGAACAAAATTTGGGGTTGATGAGCAGAAGCATACACTGCCTGTTTGATGTGCCACCCATGTTAGCTCAGGTTGCACATAGCCTGGATTTAGGGGCATCAAGGGCAGAATATGTACTATTCAAGAGAAGCTCAGGGATATCAATATATGATTGCTGGGTGCACCGTGCACGTAGGTTGTGATGCTGGCTCAAGGATCTAAATTCCTGCTATCCTTTTTTGGGGGTGTGAATAATATTTCTTATTGGTACTATTTCTTGGTAGTAGGGACAATTCCACTGTCTCAAAATCGTGGTAAATATTAAGCAGTAAAACGATTTTAACTTTTTCTATATCTTGATTTTCAGGTCATGCTAGATTGAGCCTATTACTGTTTCTACCCTGAAGCGCTAATGTTTGCAGGCCTGAAGTGTCTCGTATTCAGCTTGGAGGTGTTGGTGAATTACTTAAAGCGACGAATGCAGAAATCTGCACGGAAGCGATGCATCCCATTTTTGCCATTTGGTTAAGTAGGTTTTGGTTATTCTTATACGTTGAGAGGATACTTATCATGGGTTTGGTGGATTAGACGTGGTATAATCCAGTTCTCATTTTGGTTTTCCTTTTTGTTTGCTAGCTGACCTTAATTACTTGGTGCCATTTCCTGCTTTGATTTTTAGGTGTTACTGTAAATGAAGAGATGATTTATTATATATACTACAGAATATAGTTCACGCGTATTACAAAGAAAACCGGTGTTTTGTTTCTGTTGGGCACTTTAGTTAGCAAAAGAGTAAAATAGCCTTTCCAACTGGGGCTCTTCCCATCCATTTGTTTGTGATCATAATTTTCCGAACCATATGTTTCATTTTTTCTTCTAAGCTTATCTTAGTTAAAACATTCAACACACTTTCAGTTTCAGTTTTCAGTCTTTGAGCAAGGTTGCTTCAGAATTATCAGGCATATACATGGAAATGAAATGATTCCATTCTCTGTTCAGTTTATTTTCCTTGTAGGCTTAGATTGATCATACAGCGAGTTAAATGAATATAACTTCAAACAAGGCTCGAGTAAAAACTACGGAGGAAAATGCAGTCAATAGTGACTTGTGATTGTGATCTGCATCGAGGATTAAAAAGATTTGTCTCGTACCACATGAAGTCCTTCAGTAGATTTGTATACTTGTTCAAAAGATTGTAAGAGCGATGCATCAACTTGTTTAGTTGCAGAGGTATATGATCTGAGCTTGTTCATTCGGATTATTCAGATAGAAAGACGCTGTACTAACGGAAATCTTATACAGGTTGAATTCGAATCTTCATACCCCACTGGACCGGGGCCCACACGTCAGTGACCCATCTCAAGACTCAAATTAAATTGGTCACGTCTCGTTCGTCCTCATCTCGCTCGCGTCTCGTCGGCATGACGACTCCGCCGGCGGCGAAGCGCCGCCGCCGCTGCTGTTCGCTGCCGCCGGAGCTGAACGACGACGTCATCGGCGAGATCCTCCTCCGCCTCCCACCTGGCGACCCCGCGCTGCTCGTCCGCTGCTCCCTCGTCTGCAAGCCATGGCGGCGGCTCCTCTCCTCCGACCCCGTCTTCCTCCGCCGCCACCGCGAGCTCCACCTCCGCCGCCGGACGCCTCGCCCCCTCCTCGGCTTCCTCTTCAACCAGCTCGGGGAAGACCCCGGCGTCGCCTGGTTCGCCCCCACCTCGTCCCTCCGCCGCCTCCCCCACCCCCACCACTGCGACTGGTACGCGCTCGACGCCCGCCACGGCCTCGTCCTCTTCAGCACCATGCTCTCGCGCGACGCGGCGGAGCACGAGCTCGTCGTCTGGGACCCCATGACGGGGCGCCGGTGGCGGCTCGACTTCCCGGGCTACCTCGAGGACTTCAACTGGTCCGCGTCGGTGCTCTGCGCCGCCGACGGCTGCGACCACCGCCACTGCCACGGCGCCCCCTTCCTCGTCGCGGTCGTGTCCACCGGCCGCTACTGCAACACCTCCGCGGCCATCTACTCCTCGGAGACCGGCGCCTGGGGCGACGCGATCGCGCTCGAGCGCGAGCACCCCGATCCCGATGATGCCGTCAAGGTCGGGAAGCCCGGCGTCCAAGTGGGGAACGCGATCTACTTCCCCTGCGTCCGGAGCGCCCAAATCCTCGAGTGCGACATGAGCGGCCACACGCTGGCGATGTTCGACTCGCCGGCGGCCGGCCGGGGATGGCCGGACAACGGCCTCCTCATGACGGCGGAGAGCGGCGGCGGCGGCGGGCTGGGGTTCGCTTTCGTGCGGCGGTCCATGCTCCACCTCTGGTCGAGGGAGCCCACCGGCGACGGCGCCATGGCATGGTCGCCGCTCCGAGGCATCAACCTGGAGCCGCTGCTCACCGTGCTGATCCGGAGACCACCTGAGCACCACTCCGTCACGCCTAATCTGGTCGGCTTCGCCGACGGCGTCGGCGTCATCTTCGCCGAGATCGATGGCGACGTCTTCACCATTGAGGTGAGCTCTCGACGAGGCAAGAAGGTGTACAGGAGGGAAGACATCCACACCATCTTCCCTTACACGAGCTTCTACACTCCTCGCGGTGGTATCAACTTTGATCCATTGCCATGAACTCACTCGCGCTGCTGCTGCTGCTGTTAGCTTTGTTGTGGATTTGACGTTAGTGATTTCTTTCAGTTTGGAAGCCCAGGAACAGTATTGTTTGCTCTGGTTTCAGTGGTTAGTTTAAGCCATAAAAAGAGTTAAGTAGCGATGGCCTATTTTGTAACCTCTGTGTCTAGTTGGGCAGTTTTAACCAGGAAAAGAGTTGACTGCTCATGATCACTTCACTATGTGATTGTATCAACTCATCTACCTATTTCTTTTTCGTTTTTCATTTCCTCGCTGCCTAAAGCATACTCTCGAAGATACAATACCTCTATTTTTTTTATAATGCTACGCCGTTAAATTTTTCTTTACAATAGTTTGATCATTCGTCTTATTTAAATTTGTTTTGTAAATATAAAAAATTGAAGTCATACTTAAAAAATATTTGACGATAAATCAAGTCACAATAAAATAAATAATAATTATATAATTTATTAATAATACAAATGATCAAACATATATTAAATTGATCAATCAATTCTAAGGTTGTGTTCGGCAGCCAACTTTCCCAACTCATCTGTATCATTTTTCGCGTGCATGCTTTTAAATTGCTAAACGGTATATTTTTCTTTTTGCAAAAAACTTCTATAGGAAAGTTGCTTAAAATTATATTAATCTATTTTTTTAAAAAATAGCTAATACTTAATTAATCATGTACTAATGAGTCACTTTGTTTTAAGTGAGCGAGAGATTAGGTACCAACCTCACAATTAGCCTAAGTGGGAATACTAAGAGTGGGTGGACTAGGCAAAATCCCCCCCCCCCTTTTTCCCTAACCCTCCTAGAGTCGTTGGATCAAACATTGTCTGTCAGATTCAACCAAATACAAGGCTGGGTTCCCAACCCAAGCTGTTCGCACGGAAAATGAAGTGATCCATTAGCGCATGATTAATTAAGTATTTGCTATTTTTTTTCAAAAATGAATCAATATGATTTTTTAAGCAACTTTTGTATATAAACTTTTTACAAAAAAAACACACCGTTTAGCAATTTGAAAAGCGTGCGCGCGAAAAACGAGATATGTGCTAAATTGGTTTCCTGATTCCACACTTCCCCATCAATGGTGGAAGCATCCACATCTACACTCTCAGTCTTAGATCAAACTATAGAAATAAATCTGAATAAGCACATGTCGGATTCATAGCTAAAGTTTGATTTATTCTTTTTATGAAGAGAGTATATGTTTGTGCGCAGCAAGGCACCTCTGGGTTAACTCTTAACTGTACAGCCGGCCGGCACCCTGTTACGCTGGCCAACTTACTCCTATTCTCTTCCTCCACTAGCCAGCTGCTGCGAAATCATGCCCAAGGGAAGCAACTCCACCCGAATGTGCCTCCCCAGTCCCCAGTCCCCACACGCGCACAGATCTTGGAGTAAAATCAATGCCCATCAAAATAGACTGATTGAAATCACAAAAAGTCAGTTGACTGAAAGTAAACAAACCTGTTTTCTTTAACATTGTGTCACTACCACTGTGGTTAGCTGCTACCAAGGTACATTGAAATAAGTTTCACCTTGGACTAGGTGTTATATTATATGATTGAAGGAAAATCTTGTAAAATATGAGGAAAAGTTATAAAACTTTTTGAATTTAGATCACATATTCACATTTGATGATGATTTATTCAAAATTCTACGAAATGCCATGGAAATTCTATATTATTGATGATGTATCCTAGATTCCTAGTGCTCCGTATTAAGTGAAAGTTTTTTTTGACGGTTTAAACAGTAGGAGAGGCTCATACTGTGCTATATTAGAATATAGAATAAAAAAAGAGTATGTACAAAGGATGGATATAAGGGGGGAGAGGAAAGAAAAAAGGAAAACAAGGAAAAAACAAAGACAATTAGCTAATGATGTTAATCCATGATTGCCAGCTGGGTTTGTCTGATGCTTTTACTCTGTGCATATGCCGAGTAAAGAAGGATGGATATAAGGGGGGAGAGGAAAGAAAAAAGGAAAACAAGGAAAAAACAAAGACAATTAGCTAATGATGTTAATCCATGATTGCCAGCTGGGTTTGTCTGATGCTTTTACTCTGTGCATATGCCGAGTAAAATCTTCTTTGAAGTCCAATTTCCATTTACTGAAGTTGATGGGCACATTATTGAAAATATGATCATTTCTTCTATTCCAGATATTCCAACATCCAATTCCTAATACTTCCATAAAGAAAGGTTGTGGGAAAAGCCTTCTTGCAGTCATGATCATGTTCATGAATTCTAATGTCAGATCCCAATTTATCCCAATACAGTTCCAACATTGTTGGGCAAAAGGACAAGAGAAGAACAGATGAATGTAGTCTTCTGTGGTTGTCAAATTGCAAATGTTACAAGTGACTCCTCCTTGAGTGTTGAAATGTTTTCTTTGAAGTAAATCTTTAGTGTTTAATATGTCCATCAGTAGAAGCCATAGAAATACCTTGATCTTCATTGTGCCTTTGCTTTTCCATATGAGAGTGAGTGGTATGTCTGGTTGAATATGAGAAAAGAAGAGATCATACATCTTTTGGATTTGTACAAGTTTGGGTTCCACACATAGTTCCATTGATTTGAATGATGGCCTCATACTCCACTAAATCAAAAGCTTTCTCAAAATATATTTTCAGAATTACAATTTCCCTGTTACTTTGATGGCACTGATGGATGTATTCAAAGCTCCATGCTAGGCAATCCTGGATGGTTCTACCTTTAATAAACACATATTGATTCTCATGAATAATATCAAGGATAACTGATTGCAGTCTGTTGGCCATAATCTTGGAGACAAATTTCAGAACAGAGTTTTGCAAAGCAATAGGCCTGTAATCATTTGGACTTTCAGGATTGGGTTTCTTTGGAACTAGGGTTATGAAAGAGTTGTTCAGGTTCTGAATTGAGATTCCTCCACTGAAAAATTGATCTGCCATAGCATAGAAATCCTCAGAGATGATATGCCAGCATTTCTTGAGAAACATACCATTGAAACCATCAGGTCCTAGAGCTCTATCACTTGGCATTTGCTTTATTATTTGGTCCATTTCATCCTTGGAAGGCATGGAGGATAAAAGATTTAGGTTAGAGTTATGCTGTATCAAACTGCTCAGATTTAGATCAGACTGTAAGTGCTCGGGAGTGCCCATTCTGTCTGTAAAGAGTTGAATAAAATTTGGGCCTTTTCTTCATGAGATGATATTATTCTGTCATCCAACTTTCATGTGAGATCTTATTTCTGTTGTGACTGTCTGTTGCTGCAGCTTGGAAGTATTTTGGGTTTTCATCTCCAAATTTAACCCATCTTATTGTACATCTTTTCTTCCAAAACTCATTCTTGTATTTTAAGAGCTGAAGGATATGGTCCTTTAATATGGTTCTGAAATTCCATTCTTGAATGGCTAGATCTCTTTGCTCTTCAATTTTGTCCAGAAAAAGCAAAACCTCATTGCAGTTTGAGACGAGGGTATGCATATTTGAGAGTCTTTTCCTCAAATTTTGAGTCCTTTCCTTAAATTTTTCATCTTTCCATTCAACTTGATAGCTTGATTTGATCCTCTGACAGGAATGTTCCAGAACTGTGAAACGACATCCATAAATCCTGGCATGTCAACCCATAAGTTTTCAAACCTAAATAATCTTGATTTAGGAACTGAAGTTTCAATAGAAATCAGACAGGGAGCATGATCAGAGATGTATTTAGATAGAGCTGTTAATGATGTGTGGAGAAATTTCAGATTCCAGGCTGGAGATGTAAAGACCCAATCAAGTTGCTGGAGCAGAGGTTGGTCTTGCATGTTGCTCCATGTGAAAGACATGCCTCTCAGAGAGATTTCTACCAATCCAATGTTGCTTATGATTTCATTGAAAATCACAATATCATTCATATCTCCACCAGAGAGATTTCTATTTTGCACTGATCTAATGAAATTGAAATCACCCATGAAAATCCAATTTTGATCAATGTCTATCTCAATGGTGTTCATCCATGAAACAAATTCATCTCTTAATTCTCCAGCACAAGGGCCATTGGCCATAGATGTTAGATAGGGACCAATTTTCATGTAAAGAGGAGTTTGACACAAACTGCATAGTGATGACATATGGATGGCTTTCAATCATGGTACCAGTTGCAACACTACTGTTCCAAATGACAATTAAACCCCCTGAGTTTCCAAAAGAAGGTTGAAAAACAAACTTATCAAACCTTCTAGGACAAAATTTTCTAATATAGGAGTGGTCAAAATGCTCTCTTTTGGTTTCTTGCAGACAGATAATTGAGCATGAAGATTCAAAAATTTTGTCAGATAAAGCCAGCCACTTTCGCTCAGAATTAATACCTCCGATGTTCCAACATAAGATATTGCAGCTTCTATTATTCTGTTGATTCATTATTCTGGTTTGTGAGAAAGATAAAATAGGTCACAGAATAACTGTGTACCCCGAGATGAGAGCCACCAGCAGAGACCCGCAACATTAGATGAAAAACCAAAGCATGACAAAATATGCAGCATAACCAAAGTACTTATCCAGCAGATTAACAAGTTCCAGGCATAATCCAAGAGAAAAGTGTCACAAAAGTGAAATTCTACCCTATTACATAAGTGGGTAGAGGGGCTAAGCATAGCCCAATTATTACAAAGCTTAGAGACTTTATTCATTTCTTTGATCTGAGAAGCTTCACTTCGGACACTTCCTCAGGAAGAAGTCCACATTTTTCCACCCCATCTCGGGAGAGCATTCACATGATTACAAAGAGGAGGCAGGAGCCGCAGGATAGCCTTGTTTAGTTCCCAATTTTTTTTTCCCAAAAACGTCGCATCGAATCTTTGGACATATACATGGAGCATTAAATATAGATAAAATGAAAAATTAATTGTATAGTTTGCATGGAAATCGCGAGACGAATCTTTTGAGCCAAATTAGTTCACGATTAGCCATAAGTGCTACAGTAACCCCACATGTGCTAATGACGGATTAATTAGGCTTAATAAATTCGTCTTGTGGTTTCCATGCGAGTTATGAAATCAGTTTTTTCACTCGTGTCCGAAAACCCTTTCCGATATCCGGTCAAACGTCCGATGTGACACCCAAAAAATTTGTTTTCGTGAACTAAACAAGGCCTAAGATAAAAACACAAGGACAACTATGTTTGCAACACATGCCCAAATTATTTGAGTGGAACATCAATCAGATAATTTAGAAAGCCAGCAACGTTTTGCCTACAGAACAGAACCATCCTAGGACGCTAGATGCTAATTAAATTGACCCTGAAAATGACGACCAACATTTAAAGCAGTTAATCACATGTCTGCAACATAACGTTAGAAATGTAATTAAC